AAGTTTATTGAGACTCATTTAACTCGAACCCATTTAATATAATATTTTTCTCCAAAATATCATCTTTGAATTTTTGCCATTATTCGCTACTTTTGCATTATTTTCTCCAATTCTTCATCAAATATAAATTTTTACCTACAAAACACAATATAACATAAATTAGGTAGAATTTAATCCAAAAGACAATAAAATATCATAAATTAGGGTCACGAATAAGTGTATAAACTACACTTATCAGTATAACTATTCTTCTGATGTTGATCGTTGAAATTTTTTGAGTCAACCCATTCCAATCTCGTGTACCAATTTCTTGAATATAGACGTCGATTACGCCTTTGTGAATGAGTCAATCATAGTATCATTTGAGCAAATTTATTGAAGATCGATGTCACCACTCTCTTAAAGTTCATGTGTATGGAAGAATTTTGGAGAAATGTGTTTTGTCTTATCCCATTTGGTATAACCTCATTTGAATTGTGTAATATAAGTTGTATTGTCTTCATACAATATTGTGGGAGACTATTATTTTTAAGTTAACCCATATTATGCTTCGGTATGATGACTAATATTTCTCAATCATGCTCATTGCCGATTTACTTAATGGCTTGTAATAAGTTTGAATGATTTATAAAGGATGCAGTCAAGGTTTGATTAACCAATCTTCATTATATTGTAGTTTCCCACCTAGTAAATGCATACCATGTTTGCAATTTAACTTCATATGGATTCCAAAATATAATCTTCATCTATATGTCTCACCAAAGAATATTTCAATTTTTCTGACTAAAATAATTTTATGTTAATAGTACCTCGTAGGTAACGAAGAATACACTATTCCAATGTATTTGAATGGGTGCACAACAATATCTAAAAGACTGAAAGGAGATTTACATCTATATCTCTAGAAAGAAAATAACATATGATGAATATCGATTCTCAACATAAAATAAACATTGCCTTAATGGGTTATTGAGGGTTAAAGTAAATTAACAACGGTGAATTCGTTTGAGACTTGCTTACATTTTAATTTGTTTATTTTATTGGATAATTATAATACTCTAAATTAGACTCATAATCATTAATTTTGTTTTCCAAATTAGAGCTAGTTTTAATTTAATTAGTTAATCAGTCCTCGTGAGTTCAGTC